GGAGAAGCTGTACATGGAGACAAGGCTTGAATCTACTTCACACAAATCCTTTAGGAAAGCTCCAGGAAGAGAGAAAGTAGGTGAGGTTTTCTGGCAGCCTTGGCAATAATACAAGCAGTGATCTAACCAGTGATTACCAGAACTCTCTCATGAGTAAAATCTTGGGAAAGCCTGGTAACTGCCCCAAACTACCACACTCTCCAGCTCACTTCCCCTGGTGATCCCAGGGGGTGTTATGCATGCAGATACACATGCTACAATGGCACCACTTTTCTTCCCTTTTATGACCAGCACCGTGTGTTGAAGATGAGTTATTCCTGAAGATGAGTTATTCTTCTCCACCTACCAGCCATACCTAGTGAAGTCTGCTCTTAGGGAGCTGCTGACAGTGCAAACCAACAGCCTGAGGGTCTCCATGAACCTCCATCTGACAAGACTTAAAATACAGTAAACCAACAGCCCTTTCCTCTCTGAGTGTGTCAAATTAACCATCAGAAAGTAAATCTTTTTAAAGCAGAAGAAACACCTACAGTAACCAAGCTCTGGCTGTAGAAATGCCATCACCATTAGCAGTAAGTCTGGGACACTAGGGGCAGTACACAGCAGCAAGAGCAGGGACCCTCTGTAGTGACACCGTTTTCACCTGATGGCTGATGATGTAATGTTTGCTGTTTACACTTAAAGAAATTGCCACAACAACTCAAACCAAACACTTCCTACTTTGCAGCCCCTTGTAGATGCTATGTTTGTCTCTGCAAGAATCAAAACAACCCCTGCCTTTTCACTTGGCAGACATTGCCACCTCTGAGGAGGCCCTAATGAAATTCTTCTCCCCTCCCTCACTGTTTTTGTTGGCTCCTGATGAGTTCAGAGTTCATAGGGCTGTATCACACCTCCCAAGTGACCCATGCTTTGGGGGTCAAACCAATAACCTCAAGTGGAAAATCAGTGACCCAAGGGAGTGATCCAAAATCCACAAATTGGGTCAAGCAGGTCCAGCCACTCAAAAGGACCAGGCTAGGAGCGTGGCCTCTGAGAGGACATGCTGAGTAGGAGTTGCTCTGACTGTCAGCTGTTTTCCAGATTTTTGGCCATTTGTTTGACCTGGGGGTCCAGTGAAATTAATGGCAGGCAGAAGGTAGGGAAGCTGACACAACATCCTGGGAAGGAACTGATCTCAGAGCTCAGAAAGTGTTTTTGCTGATAGTTCAGTTCTGCTAGCTCCCACTGGAAGATGCATCGCTGATGTAGGTCTAGCTAAAGCAGAGGCTGCTGCTGTAGGAGGCAGCATAAGGAAGGGAGGCAGAAGCCCCAGGTTCAAGAAAGGAGTGAAACTGGTAGGGCAGTGTGAAAATGCAATCCTCAAAAATGTCATAGCCAAGGCATTCATTTTATTGTGAGGAGATAAATCTTACCTTTCCCTGCAGAGAAATTATAGCTATCACACACAGGTAGTTGCACAGATATTTTGCCTTATCATTTCACATGCTGGTTAGCAGCTACACTGGTTTATCTTTTAAATGATTCACCAGGTAAGAACTGTGATCAAATTTGAGCTTTAAGAGCAAAAGTAGCCTTGTCCAAATAAAGCAGGTAACTTGTTACTGATGTTCAATCAACAGTACATAAGTTGTTATTTTCTCCATGACAAGTGAAGCCAGAAGTAGGTTTTTTTGCTATCCCTGCTTTATTTACCATCCAAGCACAAAGAATATAGAATACCATATTTTCTGGCTTTGCTGCAGAAGTTTTAAAAGCTTCTGGGTTTATTTCATATAACGGCTAGGGTTGGAAGGGACCTTAAAGATCATCTAGTTCCAACCACCCTGCATGGGCAGGGACACCTTCCACTAGACCAGGTTGCTCAAAGCCCCGTCCAACCTGGCCTTGAACACTTAAAACTGAACCAAAAGGTTTACCAAAGATTCCTTAAGAAAGGTTTCTTTTACTCAAAATGATACTTAGTAATTGAAAGCAAACAGGTATCTATAGGTCTCAAGAAACCTAACTAATACACTTTTTGCTTTCTGCAGTTCTTCCCTCTCCTTTTTTTTAAAGCCCCCATTTCAGTAATTCTTCAGTTGTGCAGGATCTCACTGGATAGACTGGCCTGGATACCTGATGCTTCAAAAGCAACCAGGAAAAAAAAAAAAATTCTATTTCAGGTTTACTGTGTTTCATTGTTAACCCCCATTTGCAGGTCACCTTTACCATCAGCCACAAGACACATGCTTGGGTTATCTGAATGGAAAGGAAAGCAAAATGATGGCCTGGCTGTTCACGCTGTGCCCCATCATGTTAGGGGGTTGGATTTCATCATGACAAAGAGTTTTTCTTGTTCCTATTCTGTAAGAATCACAGAGGTCACTCTCTTGGTACCTGATAAAAAGCAAGGAAGGGAATGCTCTCTTTTTACATCACCGTCTCCTCTCACTGCTGAGGAAATATTTTGCAAGGGACACAAACTCACAAGAAAAATGCCTTCTTACTTTGTCAGGGAGTACTTCTTTAAATAAATTTCAAAGACAGCCACAGACTAAGTGGCAAATGGAAAGCCCACATTTGGCTGCAGTGTCTTTCATGTCTAAGTGAGACATAGAGAGATTCTGGTTGATGGCATCAGGCAGCTCAGGCTGTGATTAAAGAACAGGAGAAAGCAACAAGGTCCTATCTGTGTCCAGATCCTCACTGAAGAACTCTATTGCATGCATCATTATTGCAGGCTGTTTGTTCTCAGCCAGGAGGATCTACTTCTAAAGAAGAAAGGGGAGGCTGATGTAAGAATTAAATTATGCAAACAATCTTACACTATCAAATACATTACACCATGTTCTTATAAAGCTCTTCTCAAGATACACTAAAAAGAAATTACTGAAAAGACTATGTAGTCCTTATCTCTTCAGATATAGTATTAAAGACACCATAGTGCTATTTGTAGTCAGTGGCACTAAGAACTTCTGTTGCTTAATATTTAATGAACATATAACTTCAAAACATATTTTTTAAATCACTGCATGACTCTGAGCTTCATTAGTCTGTCTCTGTATCTTAATAGGTGAGATACTCCTATAACAAATATTTTTTGCCATTTCAGACCACTGCTTCCCATAGCTGATGATGGGTTTTGCATTTAAAAAGCCACAGGAAATAAAATTTGGTATTGTAGTGCTGGGAAGAATCTGCAGCACAAGGAAGTGCTCAGTGTCTGCTGTCTGTGAGAGAGAGGCTTGCACCTCTCAGAAGAAAGCAGATGTATAACAATGTCATACTAACCTCAAACACACCACACAGAGATTATTTATTGGCTGAGCTGGTGGAGGTGCTTTCTTCTCCTGCTCTTTTATCAACAATGCAAGGCTAAAAAATCAGATAACGTAACCGAATACAATCCCTGGCTCTCATGTAGCACATGCCATGCAGAGAGAGCTGTTTTTAGTTTGAGGACTGTGTTTGGAATTCCTTGAGTTTCAGGTTTCCAGTTACCAGACCCTCATCCCTGGGCCAGGCACGACTGCGGTTGGACTGGATTAGCAGAACACTCTGCAATGTATATTACATACCTTTGACTTCTACAGGCTTTGCAGACCCATAAAAATAATGATCATTTCATGGCCTGTATTACACAGGTAAAAAAAATTGAAAAAAATTCTTTCTCCCCTTTTTAAAGAATTCATATTTCTTTTGGATTTGGAGAAGGAGGGATCCCTACAAGTTTGTTTGAACTTCAAGCAGGAGTACATTTCAGATGCAATGCAGGCAGACCTGATTCTCTTTCCTTGCATGCAGTTTTGCCTTGACTGGCCTGAACTTAAGAGCTACTATGCCTAGTTTTTCTCTCTCTACAGTGTTCCCCTCGCCTCACTCTCACCTTCTCTCTTCCTATGTATGTGCTGATGCAAATAACTCACTACAAACAGCATTTCTCTCCTCTTCCTCCTGGGCCTCAGGATCTTGAAGTCCTGTTGCTTTCCTTGACTTTTTCCTCACCCTTTGCTGCAAAAATAGAAAATATCTTCTGCGCACTGGCCTGATGGCCCCTGGCTGCAGGAACTCTGGTATTTTGGCACTTGGCACAGGCCTGGTGCTGCCCGAGGCTGACCTGCACTCAGGGGCTGAGGGTGGCTGGCAAAGGCAGGACGTGCTGCTGGCAGGCACTTGGCTGTACTGACAGCAGCAGAGGCTCCGGTCTCCAGGGTTTACATTGAACAGTGCACACTGTGTAACTATGAAGCAATCACAAGTGCACACAGGCACATCTGCAGACACACTTCTCAGATGGCTAGCTGCCTTCTCTGTGAGCCTGCCCAAGCATGGCAGATACATATTTGACTTACTTCAAATGCAGCTGGTGCAATCAGAGGAGAATCTTGCTACACAAACTGCAAAAAATGAAGGCTACGAGATAAATGCTGCCACCACCGAAACGAAAGAGTAAGACAGAGGCCAGAATACAAATCTGGAACTGCATCAACCTTAAAGCAGAGTCGCAGGTCTGAACATGCCCAGAATGTGGCCACTACCTCTGTGGCAGGTCCTTGTTGACTCGTGATCACACACCCGATTGTACAGGATTCCCCATTCTGCACAAAGTTCGTGCTTCATGCTGTGCTCTCACTGAAAGGCTCTCAACAGCACTCTGAAGTAAACTCTGGTGACACTGCTGCCCTAATGCAGACAGTTACATACTGTACAGGTGTAACTGGATCCGGGAAATAGCCCTGAGGTGTATTCATTTGCGCTTCATTTCCAGCAGCCACTTCCTATTTTTAAAAGGAATTTAAAAATACTCAACTGTCTGGTACCTCACGTACTCAAAACACATCATACTTCACGTGGCTTTTGTTTGCCTGTTAGAAAGCACCTGCGCTGAGCCCAGCTCAGTAAGAATGACTCCAGGTCTCATGTGCCATTCTTACAGGCAGCTACATTTGGGAACAACTCTACAAGGATCATGTCCGACAAGATTCCTCCCGGGCTGTGCTGGCAAGTCCAATGTGTGGCTATACAGCTGCAGTCATTGGGTTCTTCTGCCTGGGATCCTGTTGCCTGTACTGGTACTGGTCTGGACTGGTCCCACGGTGTCGGACAATTTCATTATAAGCTGGTGCTCGGTGGGATGGAGGAGGAGAAGGTGGCACATCCTGTCGGAGGGGTCCTTTATGCTGGTTTGTGATGGGCTGGGCTGGGTAGTACTGGGGGTACCTCAATTCTGCCACTCTTGTGTCCGGCGTGCGGATGTAGTTCCCCTTAGATGGGTGGACAGCAGGCTGTCCTCCTTGGTAGTAGGGAAGATCTCTCTCTTTGTATATTACTCGTGGCCCTGTTAAATATTCCAGTGGCTCTGCAGGTCCACGTCTGAGGAGGAAGAACATAATAAAGCACATAAAAAGGCAGTCCACTAGCTCAGCAACACATTATTTTACTCACAATCTATGTTTACTTTGGGAAAGGAAATGCCACCTCAAGCATGACAGGTCCAGATGAGTCAAAAGAACTTCTGAAGGATAGCAGGCCTCCCACCTGCACGCTACAAAAGTCTCTAACACCCAGGACGCTGGAGGAAGGGTCCAGCGCACATCACAGCACTTTTACAATGGGGGAGCACTGGAGCCCTTCAGCTCCCAGAGTCATCCTCCTGTGATCCATTTGCCATAATGGAAACAAAGCTCCTTTAAACAATGAATGTTTGACTGAATCTTATCTTGCCTGAGGATAAACAGATGAGTTGGGTCTGCAAGTCTGCAAATCCCATAAGCTTTATATGCACAAATATTCACGCTTTCCAAGCCATTTCCCACTATTTTTTCTCCTAACATGTCAGATTGTAAAACTTTCCAAACACCATAGTTGGAAAAACTGGAACTCCTGCAAGAAACACTAGAGATGTCAGGCTACAATACCTGTGTGTAATGGGCGAGCTGCCAGTGGGGTTTCAAAAAAACTCCTGTAATCTATAAGGCCTGATATTACAACAGCCCTGTAACTTGTCTGCATCAGTATGGATCTGACAAGCTGTAGTTCACATGAAAAGCAACATGTGAACATGTCATCCCTGAGAATGTGCCATGGAGCCCTCTCTGTATCTTTCTGCATCTTAATTCCATGATCTGCGCTAATGAAGCATTGGTATTTTTTCCTAGTGCAGGTTAACTTGTGATACTTTTCAAAGAAATGGTAAAAATAATTATTCCTACAGACATGTCACCAGAGCATCCCTAAAAGTTCAACTCAATTAGGAGTTTTTGCCAGGCTGATTGCAAAGGTCTTTGCACTTTGCGCAAAACCTTCCATTGACTGCACAGGAAGATTCTGAGTGAGAGCTGAGGGAAGATGGCAGGGTTTTGATTCAAAACAGGGGCTAAAACTATAAATCAATTACACCTGCTCTGTGGCTTTGGGATTGAACTCATCAACTATGAAAATATTCTTTGCACAGATTTATTTAAAAAGTCATAATTCTGGTACAACTGACCAGGTGTTCACAATTCACCAATGCCTCTCTTTTGTTCACACAGAGATTATACAGGCATGCTCCCCCTTTCTTAATCTGGGTGCCCAGACTCCACTGGAGCTTGTTTTGCATGAAATAAAACAAACCATGTGTTTTTCTGCTGCACTCGCTTAGGCCCATGGGGTAAATCATGGACATAGGCAATGAACAAACATTATCTGCCTTGAAATGAACCTACAATTCTCCCCCTGGAATAACTTGGTGCAAATGTTTCCTGTTTAAAATGGAAAGAGCAAAAGGAAGAATTCCAGGCCTTGGACTTTTAGGACCCTATGTTCCCCAGAGACTTTTTGCTTTAAAAACAGAACATTATAAAAGACAGGCACTTCTGGCTTTCCCCCCACCCCCCATCATCTCTCCGCTTGTGAGACAGTCCAGACAAAGTGCTGAAGGGCCTGAAGCCACCCTCTGAGATACTAAAAGGACTCTTAACTGCATGTATTAAGACAACTTCTATCTCTGCTCACACACCTATGCCTTCCAACAAAGCCTGATTTCCACAGCAGGCCAAAGAATTGCTCCATATATTTCTTGTTCACCAGTCAGTCCCATCATACGCAGCTTGTAATTCCTCTCTGTGCAAAAACACACTTCCAATCAGAAAAGGCTTCTGCAATGGTAGGAGCTGCTTTGTGTCAAGCAGCAAACCAACAGGAACAAATGTCAAACCTACAACCATCACCTTTTAATATAAGGATAATGCTCAAAATCCAGTATATTAGATTTTATAAGGTGTTCTCCTCAACAGCTATAATAAACCAAATTATTGTAGATCACATCAAAAAGGGAACCTGATCCAGAATTCAAGGAAGACCCAGGTAGCTTTTGGACAGCTCTAACTGCGAAGCTGAGTTACTCTAAAATAACAAATTCAACATTAATTGGTAGCAAAATGACTGTAGAGATAAGGACTGAGCCACCAGCATCATCTACTGAGCCTTCAGCACACAGCTCATCCCTCAACTCACAAGAGATGTCTGGATGTTGCAGGAAAAGAGGGGGATGCGTTTTGCTATCCAGTCACAAGGGCTGCTGGTCCAGCTCTAGGAGACAGTGTGACACTGCTGCCACAGAAGTTGTGACTGTGCAGAAGGCAGCACATTCAGGCAGCTTTGACCTAAGACTGTGCAGTGAAGATGAGCCTGAGCAATCAAAGCACAAGTGTGCCAGACCTGAGGCATGTGCCCAAGCTGCTTGAGCTTGTGCCATCAGGTCTTCATTGCTGGTACCCACGTTACAAAACTAAATCCAGCACTGATTCATTTACAGCAAATACAGTCTTTGGTTCCCTAGACAAACTGCAGAGAAGAACATACAGAAAGGGCAAAATCTTTCTTTAAAAATAAAGAAGTATCTAAGCTGTTCATTCTCAGCACCAGTTTCACCCCTCTGCTGGTGAAACACGCATAGGTGGTAACACTCTCGTGTCTTCCCCAGCGTCAGGGCTTAGCAGCTGTGGGGAGAAGCTGTACATGGAGACAAGGCTTGAATCTACTTCACACAAATCCTTTAGGAAAGCTCCAGGAAGAGAGAAAGTAGGTGAGGTTTTCTGGCAGCCTTGGCAATAATACAAGCAGTGATCTAACCAGTGATTACCAGAACTCTCTCATGAGTAAAATCTTGGGAAAGCCTGGTAACTGCCCCAAACTACCACACTCTCCAGCTCACTTCCCCTGGTGATCCCAGGGGGTGTTATGCATGCAGATACACATGCTACAATGGCACCACTTTTCTTCCCTTTTATGACCAGCACCGTGTGTTGAAGATGAGTTATTCCTGAAGATGAGTTATTCTTCTCCACCTACCAGCCATACCTAGTGAAGTCTGCTCTTAGGGAGCTGCTGACAGTGCAAACCAACAGCCTGAGGGTCTCCATGAACCTCCATCTGACAAGACTTAAAATACAGTAAACCAACAGCCCTTTCCTCTCTGAGTGTGTCAAATTAACCATCAGAAAGTAAATCTTTTTAAAGCAGAAGAAACACCTACAGTAACCAAGCTCTGGCTGTAGAAATGCCATCACCATTAGCAGTAAGTCTGGGACACTAGGGGCAGTACACAGCAGCAAGAGCAGGGACCCTCTGTAGTGACACCGTTTTCACCTGATGGCTGATGATGTAATGTTTGCTGTTTACACTTAAAGAAATTGCCACAACAACTCAAACCAAACACTTCCTACTTTGCAGCCCCTTGTAGATGCTATGTTTGTCTCTGCAAGAATCAAAACAACCCCTGCCTTTTCACTTGGCAGACATTGCCACCTCTGAGGAGGCCCTAATGAAATTCTTCTCCCCTCCCTCACTGTTTTTGTTGGCTCCTGATGAGTTCAGAGTTCATAGGGCTGTATCACACCTCCCAAGTGACCCATGCTTTGGGGGTCAAACCAATAACCTCAAGTGGAAAATCAGTGACCCAAGGGAGTGATCCAAAATCCACAAATTGGGTCAAGCAGGTCCAGCCACTCAAAAGGACCAGGCTAGGAGCGTGGCCTCTGAGAGGACATGCTGAGTAGGAGTTGCTCTGACTGTCAGCTGTTTTCCAGATTTTTGGCCATTTGTTTGACCTGGGGGTCCAGTGAAATTAATGGCAGGCAGAAGGTAGGGAAGCTGACACAACATCCTGGGAAGGAACTGATCTCAGAGCTCAGAAAGTGTTTTTGCTGATAGTTCAGTTCTGCTAGCTCCCACTGGAAGATGCATCGCTGATGTAGGTCTAGCTAAAGCAGAGGCTGCTGCTGTAGGAGGCAGCATAAGGAAGGGAGGCAGAAGCCCCAGGTTCAAGAAAGGAGTGAAACTGGTGGGGCAGTGTGAAAATGCAATCCTCAAAAATGTCATAGCCAAGGCATTCATTTTATTGTGAGGAGATAAATCTTACCTTTCCCTGCAGAGAAATTATAGCTATCACACACAGGTAGTTGCACAGATATTTTGCCTTATCATTTCACATGCTGGTTAGCAGCTACACTGGTTTATCTTTTAAATGATTCACCAGGTAAGAACTGTGATCAAATTTGAGCTTTAAGAGCAAAAGTAGCCTTGTCCAAATAAAGCAGGTAACTTGTTACTGATGTTCAATCAACAGTACATAAGTTGTTATTTTCTCCATGACAAGTGAAGCCAGAAGTAGGTTTTTTTGCTATCCCTGCTTTATTTACCATCCAAGCACAAAGAATATAGAATACCATATTTTCTGGCTTTGCTGCAGAAGTTTTAAAAGCTTCTGGGTTTATTTCATATAACGGCTAGGGTTGGAAGGGACCTTAAAGATCATCTAGTTCCAACCACCCTGCATGGGCAGGGACACCTTCCACTAGACCAGGTTGCTCAAAGCCCCGTCCAACCTGGCCTTGAACACTTAAAACTGAACCAAAAGGTTTACCAAAGATTCCTTAAGAAAGGTTTCTTTTACTCAAAATGATACTTAGTAATTGAAAGCAAACAGGTATCTATAGGTCTCAAGAAACCTAACTAATACACTTTTTGCTTTCTGCAGTTCTTCCCTCTCCTTTTTTTTAAAGCCCCCATTTCAGTAATTCTTCAGTTGTGCAGGATCTCACTGGATAGACTGGCCTGGATACCTGATGCTTCAAAAGCAACCAGGAAAAAAAAAAAAATTCTATTTCAGGTTTACTGTGTTTCATTGTTAACCCCCATTTGCAGGTCACCTTTACCATCAGCCACAAGACACATGCTTGGGTTATCTGAATGGAAAGGAAAGCAAAATGATGGCCTGGCTGTTCACGCTGTGCCCCATCATGTTAGGGGGTTGGATTTCATCATGACAAAGAGTTTTTCTTGTTCCTATTCTGTAAGAATCACAGAGGTCACTCTCTTGGTACCTGATA